CCTCCACCACTGATGTCTTGGCCTCCTGCAGGTGGCTCGAGAAGGACAATGTACTTCCTGTGGCCGGCTCAAGGTGCGCCTCCCTCCTATCTTCCAGCACCTTGGAGGACGCATCGCTGCTGATCACCACCGCCAGGAGCAGCAGCAACAACACCGTCATGCATGGTTCGGGCTGTGTTTTGATTTTTGGTTTGAGACTATTTTTTCGCCTCAGGCCGAGATGGCCGAATTTTGGTCATTTTAAAAATTTCGGATGAAATTTGACCAAGTTTTGACAGAAATTTGACCAAAATTTACCAAATTTGATCAATTTCGAGCTAAAGATTATTTCCGCCCCAGGCCGAAATTTGGCCGAAATCCGTTTTTCTCGGTCGAAGATCAAAACACAGGGTGTGGGCAAGAGGGAACGGTGGATCGCCATGCTGCTGCGAGCGGGCAAGATGATGTGAGGGAGGAGGCTGCTGCGGAGCGGTGCTAGCTGCCTCCCTTTGTAGACGATGAGTGAGCCAGACAGGCAGTTCAAAGATTACACATTGTACAATTTAGATTCAGATACTTGTGGACCAGAGTTACAATTTGTTTTTCCTATTGTGCATAAGCATTGGACTATCTAAAATACCAAAGCAAGTTTCAACTGAGGACAATTTTTAAGAATATGACAGATATATCAGTGAATGAAGTTTAACTAATGAATCGAGTTTTCAAAGACATCACTGCATATCTGCATCATATGTAGCAACAAAACAAACTGAATGTAAAAACAAAAAACAATATGGTCTTAGACTAACATGAGAAACATATTCTGTCAAAATTGTCCTACAAAAAATCTTAAAGCACAAATCGACTAGCGCTATCTTCTGTAATGTAATTGAACAATGGTTGCACATCTAGTAGATTTCTGAACCAAATTGCCATCACAATGACAGCAAATCCCCCATTTGCTGATAAGGGAAACACACGTACGTCCCCATTGCTCACATAGGTCACCTCCATCAGCGAGGCCGCTGCCAGTATGGTGCAAAATTATAAGGTCAGGCCCTTGCCATCACTTGTCTTGTCTAGGTCCTACGTCAAATTTCCTTTGTGGAGGCGGAACCGGACGAGGGAGTGTAGAAGTGTATGCTTTAGCAATGCAACCAAGAGACTGATCTGATGAAAGAGACTTGGTAATACATTTATACGTCAACATTTTCCCTTACTAGTGGCTCCCTCAAGCCTAAACGTGGACCGAAAGTGGGCTGCAATTTAAGTGCGCCAGCCGGGTTTTGAACTCAAGACCTCTTGACTCTGATACCATGTTAGAAGGGAGAGAGACTCATGGGCATATATATAGAAGTACAATGACTAACTTGAAGTACAAGACAAAGCAGAACCAAATCCTAATCTATCATATATTTCCTAATAATTATATGCTCAACAGGAAGGAAGCAGCGGTTGCCGAACATACACGGCTCGGCGGTTGGGAGCCGTGTACACGGATGGCCAAGACAAGCTAGGACAGGGTCGTGCAAGAGCCAAAGCGTTTGTAGGCAGATGGTGGCAGCGGCCACGCGGAATCATTCAATAGGGGGTGGCAAAACAAACATAGACATAAGATTGGCCTGGAAGCCTCAAGTTTATGTCCAGTTTGTGGGATGGAAACCGAGGACAATTTTCACCCAATATGAACTGTCCGTTAGCTCGCCAACTATATTTGACCATCGCAAACGTATGGTCGTTGCCGGCCATTGAGTCAATTCTGAATCCTATATCCTATATATATATATATATATAAGAAGTTCATTCCCATTATTGTATTTTTCTGCACTTGCAAGGCGTCCACGTCACCCTCTCACCCAACTGCCATGTCATCAGCTCACATCAATGTTTTTTTCCTAAGAAAAAATGGAGCTCCGTGGCCGTCTTTGGTGATACGGCCCTATCGTCCCCCAATTAACTCCCCCACCATCACTTCATCTTCTACACACCAGCGTCTTTTCTTCTCCACGAATAAATGGAGGAGTAAGATGCATTTGTTCTCCCCCACAACAAGAACCGCTTTTGCGCCAGACGATTGTCATATTCAAGCCCCGCCATGCAGTGGCGGAGCTTCATTGGATTAGTTGGGCGGGCCAACCCAAAGAAAAAGGCATAGAAAAAGAGACGTGTCATGTCAGTTGGCAGGCTAATTAGGCAGTGTTGCACCTGAGATGGGCGGGCCAGAGCACGGGTTGGCCCCAACATAGCTCCGCCACTGCCTCCATGGATGCCCGTCGTTAGGATGTATTGAACCTCGAGCATAAGATGGGTTGGACCAACTAGGCATAGGGACACGTTTAGGATATTCTTTGTTGATTGACAAACTTTGTCATAACCCTAAGTCTGGCTGATGCTCATGGATATTATTGTTTGTTCTACGGGTCATAGTTATGTACTATGCCACACTTTCTTGACAACATGTGCTACTCAATGTGAGCACGAAAATTTACCATATTGACGCTTGTGGCGGTCAATTTCGTCGCCTCACTTTCTTTATTGGGTACAACTATTTATAGTGATAAAAGTGTGGTATTATCTAGCTATGAACCAAATATTACCTTAACTGGTAGCAAAATATGTTGCATATTTTTTTCTCAAGAAGGGTGTGGTGGGAATCGGTCCCACTCGCGTGCACTCAAACAATGGAACGTACGTTTTACGTTTTAAATGGACAACCATTTCAGATAAGCATAAATGGCGTGCACGAAACACAAGTAATAGCATCATCAACCTGATCTATACAAGAATTTCAAAAAAAAAAAAAACTGGCCCATACAAAGCGACGACGGTTGTGCTTTTCTCCGGAAGAAATACGAGGGCGAACCTTTGGTACCGTGGCTTACCCCGGGTTGGAGAGGCCGTCTTGGATTCTTTGGCTCTTGTTTGCATGACATGTCTTTTTTATTTATTTGCCTTTTTGCTTAGCCTAAGCTCCGTCACTAGGTTGTAATGCTTGTTGGGTGAAATTCATACACAAAGTGTGTATCAAAATGGACCAATTGAAAGCATAAGCATAGTGGATGGTGAGATGGAAGACAAGTTGGGCCCTTGCCTGGGAACCACGGTGAGGAACGGAACGGGGGAAGGGTAACGCAGACGAGAGAAGAGAGAAGCCGGAATCGCCATCCAAGGGCTCAAAGAGGCTTCCCTTGGAGTGCAAGTAGTTCTCATCTACAGTAGGATCTAGCTCTACAGCTGCACATATATTTGCCTTTTCTTTTCTTTTCTTTTGAGTTTGCCGGTTTCGTCGATTCCGAGGTGCGGTGTGGTCGAGAGGGAGGTCCGTACACGCCGTGATCGGGAGGGAGAATCTTTAGAGGCGGAAAGGAAGAGAAAATCTCCATCACGCGCGGTGGTATGGTGCTCCTGGTCTCCTGGATGTCTCCACGTTTTCTTGTTGCCATCCGGCCGGCCGGCCACGTGACACAAGCCTCGCTCCGCGCCGGCCGGGCTTTGTTTGATTTACCATGCCATGTTGCCATGCATATCTCTTCTCATCGGGTAACATACATATGCATTTGGATGCATGTTTTCTCCGTCGGAGAAATTTGAAATACCAATTTGAAGAAGCTGAGGCAGAAATTTCGAAAAGTTTGAATGAGACAGGCGGAGCGTGGCTGGGTGTCACGAGACGAAAGCTACGGGCGACGCAGGGCCCACGCCACGTCGACCACCGGTCCACCCCGCGTCGCCAATAAATGCAGCGCCCAACCTACCAAACCAAACAGCCCAAGACCAAATCTCTCCTCCCTCCCCTGCCAATCAGCTCCGTCCGCCCGTCCGTACATCCGCCCACCCATCCCCATGGGCGCCGCCGAGGAGCAGCACCCGCCGGCGCCGGCGCCGGCGGCTGTTGAGGAGTCGAAGCGGACGCTGGTGTTCACGTACGGCACGCTGAAGCGGGGCTTCTCCAACCACGGGCTGCTGCAGGACCTGGCGCGGGCGGGGGACGCGGCCTTCGTGGCCGCCGCCGCCACGGCGGACCCGCTCCCGCTCGTCTGCGGGCCCTACCGCGTCCCCTTCCTCCTCAACCTCCCCGGCGAGCACGGCTGCCAGCGCGTCCGCGGGGAGCTCTACTCCGTCACCGCCAGGGGCCTCGCCCGGCTCGACGAGCTCGAGGGCGTGTCCCGCGCGCACTACGAGCGCCTCCCCGTCTCCGTCGTCGTCGATGGCGAGGAGGGGACAGTGGAAGAGGTGGTGGCGTACTACGCGCACCGCGGGTACGCGGCGGAGATGTGGGCGCGGAGCGGGCGCAGGGGCCACGCCGAGTACTCCCCGGCCGTGGCCGCCGGGTACGTCCGCCGCGTGGACCGGCCCCAGCACCTCACCTTCCTCGACCAGATCCGCGTCTTCGTCTCCTCCCAGTCCTGACGCGAGATTGGATGATCTTGGCTCTCGATTTCGCCGCACCGCCGCCGCCGACGAGGACCGTACGGTCGAGTTGTTCCTCCGTTTCAGATTTGGTCTGGTGTGGTGTCGTTTGTCACTTTGCTTCTGCGCTTATCTGTCTCCTTGTCTGGAACTGAAAGATGCGTGCCGTGCCAGATTGATAGATGGATACACTTATCAGTGTCACAATAATAATTGTTGCTATGTGCATCCATCTTTCTACTACCTCCGTCCGGGTTTATTGATCCCCATTGTATTTTAAGCCAAATTTTGATCATAGATTAAACTAATAAAATATTCACGCATGTCATCAAACATTATATTTTTAAAAACTATGTTCAAATATGTGAGTGACAACCTGACTTTGTGTATGTGCTTCAATTATGTGCCACATAGTAATTGTCAAATTTGCTTTTTTTTCATGGTAATACGCGTCTCATTTATAAAATAAAGATCCGATTACAAGGCGCTACAACCTACAGGAAACGGGATCGTCGCGCCGTCGGCCAGGCTCCTCAGGTCGCCGCTGGATTGAAAATAGGATCGCCGGATCGATCGGCGACCGTGACAGTTCCAACAAGAGGAGGAGATCACGATTTGCTGATTCCAAACAAATTTCTCCTCAAGCTTCAATTATAGGTAAAATCCTCTTTCTATAATCCCCGGATTAATCTATTTTTCTTCAGTCAATTTGACTCCATAGTCTTCTTATAACCCTATTCTCCATAAACTTGAAGGGAAAGGGAGATCTAGGCGTCCAAAGAGAAGGGGATTACCTAGCAGCAAAGTGGTCCAAGGGCAAAGTCAGCAAGGGGATCGCACGCCTAACTCAATCCTCCAGGTTATTTTGTTTCAATTTCATGCCAAAATTCGTGTGTTGTTTGTGTGCTAAGATTTCATCTAGAAAGGTAGTTAAGCTTTGTTTGAACATTGATTTGAAGATTGCTTACCGCCCTTGCTGCGCGGTAGAAAAGTAGTTTAAGCTGAAAACATGTTTTTCAATGAATAAGTGTGATTCTTGATATATTATATACCATGTAACACATTATAGGCTACATATTACTATTATAGATCTATTTTTCTAGTACGGTAGGCCTTGTTTTAGAGTTTGGCACAGGGCCCCATATTTTGTCGGCCCGGCCCTGCACGTAAGCATCGATATACAAGACTGAAAGGATAGGATAATCCTACGAAAAATACCAGTGCCTGTTCCTCTCCTCTGACACCACAGAAGCGACCATCAAAGGAAAAGAAAACAGATCACCTCTTCACCCGAGCTCGACGCGGCTCCATCGCTGATCAGTAGCTTTACAGACCTCGAAAGTAGTTTGTCAGAAGCAAAACCATTGCCGTTAAAAGAATCAGATCGGGGCAACATGTCCTGGGACATGCCATCAAACTCTAGATTTGACACCCCCGCACGACAACAACGTCGAAGGAGGAAACCAAAACTGTCACCCACCAACCACAAACCCAGCACGGGATGCACCATCTTCCAGTTGTCACTTGCGCAGACAACCGTCTGCGCGTACTCCTCGATGACAAAACATCCCTGCTCCACCATGACGTCGGAGACAACGCCACAGCAACAGAGACAGAGCAGAAGGAGAGACACACCTGATGAAGTCGCTACCGCCGCCTCGCCGACATCATCCATGAACCCTAACACAACCGATCTGAAGGATTGGCAATCACATGATGCCATTAACTCCGAGACGCCGCCATGAACGGCACTGCCGGTGTGGGAGTGAAGCTGAGTCAGATTTATTCGTCCGGGCGCCGCTCCCACCACCCCAACGGTGCACCACGACCTACAAATCCAAAACCTAACGACAGAACGGAGGAACATGGTCCCCCTCCCTCCTGCCGCCGGAGCAGCCGGAGGGAGAGGGGGCCAACGCCCTGGCCGGCTGAGATCGGAGGAAGAAAATCGCCTCCCTGGCTAGTCGCCTGGCGTGGCGGCGGCTAGGGTAGGGAAGTCAATTGTTGAATTTGCTTGGATACCAGACACACATTTACTCGACGTTTACGGGATTTCAGTACACGTTGCGTGAGTGTGCGATCCAAGTACCTATGCGTGATTGTAAAACGCTAGAGCAACAAACAAATTGTGCTATACGCGTTGCCTAAGCGTGTGATCTATGAACGCTAGTGTGCAATCTACTACAACACATCCATGTATGCCTTTTTTTAACCTGGAGCGACGAACATAGCTTGTGTATAGTTGGTCTTTCAATTTCCACGGTATCTAAGGATTAGAATAGGCGCAACCTTTATTATTATTAGTGTGCAACCTATGATACTTGCACACCACTGTCAATTAGGTGCATTCGCCACTTGCTTAATAAACTAACAAGATAAAACAAGGAAGAGGAGAATTTGGTTTGTGCAAGATTCTTCTTCTTCTCCTCCAAATGATTAGAATAGAATCCGCTGATGTCCGCAAATTAGTCATCGCACGAAATGCCTCCAACAATCCCATAAATAAATAAATATGATAAAGTGGAGGTCAAAAGCAAGAAATATTGTTTATAAACCAAAATTATACACTAGTGTGGGACTTGTGCGGAGTCCATTTTAATCATGCATGGCCATGTTCATTGCACCGAAGGCGATGCTTTCACAAAGCTCGGCCGCAAATTTTGAGACAGCTTTCATTGCATGGATGTCTATCGTGTCAGATTGATTGTTTGATACACTTATAAGAGTCCCATTAATTGTTCGTGTGTGTATCAAACACATGAGCTCTAGGCGTTGCATGAGCGTGTGATCTATGAACGCGTGTTCTTTAGAACGCTTGCTTGACAAACAAACTTAGCTCTAGGAGTCGCGTGAGTGTGCGATCTACAACACATCCATATATGCCTTTTTAGGCTAGAGCAACAAACACAGCTTTTGTATAGCTGGGCTTTCAATTTCAACAGCATCTAAGGATTAGAATAAGCACAACCTTTATTAGTGTGCAGCATATGATACTCTTGCACATCAGTGTCAATTAGGTGCATTCGTAACTTGCTTAAACTAACCAGACATAAAAAAGAGGAGAATTCGGTTTGTGCAAGATTCTTCTTTTCAAATGATTAATATAGAATTTGTTGTTGTCCACCGGTTGACCTTTCCAGCCCGAAGCGGCGGAGAACCAATTAGTCATCACACAAGTTGCCTCCAACAATCACATAAATAAATAAATATGATAAAGTGGAGGTCAAAAGCAAGAAATATTGTTTATAAACCAAAATTATACACTAGTGTGGAACTTGTGCGGAGTCCATTTTAATCATGCATGGCCATGTTCATTGCACCGAAGGCGATGCTTTCACAAAGCTCGGCCACAAATTTTGAGACAGCTTTTATAGCATGGGTGTGTGTCGTGCCAGATTGATTGGTTGATACACTTATAAGAGTCCCATTAATTGTTCGTCTGTGTATCCAACACGTGAGCTCTAGGCGTTGCGTGAGCGTGTGATCTATGAACGTGTGTTCTTTAGAACGCTTGGGTGACAAACAAACTTAGCTCTAGGAGTCATGTGAGTGTGCGATCTACCACACATCCATGTATGCATTTTTAGGCAGGAGCAACAAACATAGCTTTTGTATAGCTGGGCTTTCAATTTCCACAGTATCTAAGGATTAGAATAAGCACATCCTCTATTAATGTGCAACCTATGATACTTGCACATCAGTGTCAATTAGGCGCATCCGTCACTCACTTAAACTAACCAAGACATAAACAAGAAAGAGGAGAATTTGGTTTATGCAAGATTTTTCTTCTTCAAATGATTTAGTATAGTATCCGTTGTTGTCCACCGGTGGACCCTTCCAGCATGAAGCGACCGAGAACCAATTAGTCATCACACAAGTTGCCTCCAACAGTGATAGAAATGAAAAATATTGTAAAAGTGAAGGGCAAAAGTAAGAAAAGGATGTCTATAAACCAAAGATATACTAATACCAGCCTTGCGTGGATACCATTTTGATCGTGCATGGCCATGTTCATTGCACTTTCATTACACCGATGTGTGTCGTGCCAGATTGATCGATCGGTACACTTACCAGAGTCCCAATAGTTGTTAGTGTGTGCATCAAACAATCTATATTTATTAATAACCTACACGACTTCTGTGATGCCGTTGAATATGATCCTACTTCATCCTATGTATGGTTTATTTGTTGTGTTACCTTGGTGGTAAATTTTTAATAAATAACATTATTGAAAAATCATAAAGTATTAGTAGCGAAAAACATAAAATTGTTTCTATTAAAAAAATTTGGGGTAGTGTGGTGCTTTGCGAAAAAGGATGCACTAGATAGAGTAGTAAATTATCTCTCAGCCGAAAGGGTTAACAATCGGATATTAACTCAAAACCATTGGCGTGCATTACCACTATCTTGTGGCACCTTTGAAAATATTTAAACAACGTTACATAATGATTTGTCTTGTTTTGTAGTCAATCTTTTTCACTGTTACGATGTCGGACTTATTATTTGTAATAGCTAATTTAAAGGCAGACTTAACTCTAATCAAATCACTGATTTGTTGGGCATTATAGTAATTTTCTTATTTAACTCTTGATTATGGTAAATATATCTTCAGCCAAAATTATGATCTTAAACTCTCCATTCTAATTCTTCTATTATTGATGTGTTCAAACAAATAATATTTATACTAAACATTTATACGTTTTTATAGTTTTTTTACTATACGTGAATCTTAATGAGTATGCTTATATTTTGTTATTGCATTTTATCACATCACAATGTTGCTAAATGTTGCAAATAATTTTCTGGAAACAATATTAACGGCTATCACTACAATAAACATTTCCATTGTGTTACATCCAATCCATTTCTTGTAACTAAAATTAAATTTTGTTTTTTACACATTTTCCCTTAAGAAGACAGCTAAACCTATTCACCTTACATTTGAGAAAAGGGTTTTTTCCTTCACCGCGACTTTGTTTATACACTTGATGTAGTGTACA